ATGAAGATTTCCGTCTTCTGGGTTGTTGCGCTGTGTAGTCTGGTTGACATCAACCAGACTACACAGCGCAACAACCCAGAAGACGGAAATCTTCATACTCACCGCTGTGAGAACCTCAAATCTTGAATTTAGAAATGTAATTAATAATATTTACATCAGTATTTCAGTATGATTCTACATTATAAGTATAATGAAATCACATTTTAAATAGTGGTCATATCATGAAAATATGTGAGGAAATGTCTGAGAAATGGCAAAACTATGTATGACATACCTGTTGGCTAACCTCAGCTCCTGTATATACTGGAAGTTTGGTGTCAACTTTCCATTGCTGGCAATAATGGCCTGGGGAAGAAACACATGTACAGATCCATAACATTTTCCACGGTGATCAAGCAAATATCATATTCACTCAGAAGACTGAAAAGAGAGCTAACTGCCAAATAGGTTACATCAACTTTCCAATGGAAGTTGCGCTTCACTGCCACAACTATACAGTCATTTTTTCTACTACATAGTCCAATAGTGTTCACTATTTGTAACTGCTTTTCTACATATTTCTTACCAGTACCAATCTGAAATGTGAACTGGATCATAAAGGAAAGATTAAGCACTTAAAGATAATAATGGCCTACATATGTAAATTACTCATAACAGCACCAGATACTTTATCCACATTATCAACTTTCTCGCTTAAGCATTCCTTCTTTTCTCTATTAATTTGTATATTTTTGCATTAAGATTACTTTATGTACAGTTACTTTCCTGAAACTACATTATATGTACACTCTGTGACAAAAATCAAGCACATAAGATTTTCAAAATCTGAAACCAGTAGAGATAATGTATTCACCAAAGACACCACCATATGTGCGTAATCTGATGAAAAACACGAATTAATGTTCATGACTTTTCCAAGACATGGGACTAAGTTCCATGGCAAAATGAAGGTGAAAACTATACTTTGCTTGGACATCCACAATCCTGGTAGACAGATAATTTTTTAAAATATAAAATAAGCAAACAAACAAATTATTAACACTATAAAAAAGACACTAGTGTTAATAGTTTGTTTGTTTGCTTATTTTATATTCTAACACACTACATGGTATGCAAAGTTTTAAGATAAGTTTTTGTTTCTTAAAGCAGTATACCACTTGATGATGACTGCCTTCTGGGTTCTTGTGCTGTGTAGTCTGGTAGAAGTTTATAGACATTTCATAGGTCATCACTGCCTCCATCATCACAGCAATGAGTAAGATGCACATTTATAAACTTCTAAGAGACTACGCACAACAATCTAGAAGACAGCCATCTTCAGACTCACCGCTGTGAAAACCTCAAATCCTACTTCGTATACCACTTGATTCTTGTTGCAAAGAGTGTATAAAGTAAAGGATTAGAATAGAAATGCACATTTCTATCAGTTCCTCTAACCAAACCATATTAATGTGAGCAATCTTTAGCACTGTAGTGTTATGGAAGGGTAGAGTGAATGTTTATGTAGATTAACTTCATGCTTCATAGGATTAAAATAAAAAACTACAAACACTAGCCTTTTATTTCACAAGACATGTTCATGTTTAATCTCTTATCAAATTTCAGTCCTTAAAATTCTTGACATGGTCTGGGGATGAAAGATACCTAACTTGCCCCCCAACAACAATAATTTAAGATGAAAAATTGTACCATTTGGGAGAAGATACCTTGGTCTTCATTTCATTAAACACATATCAAATTTTGAGCTCTGATACAAATTTAGGAATAAAAGTAATGTTTCTTCCCAAACTACCTACCATGTCTCATTTGACTCATAACACCTGACCTTTCTGCTTGGTGGGAGATCTGCACTTAATCAAGAAGATTGATAGTGCAGCCCAGCCATAGAAGTTAAAAAGTTTCAACTTATGTATTTGTGCAGAGCTGTTGTACTTACTCCTGCAACAGAAGGAGTAAAGTTGTGATTCTCAAGAGGCTGAGTGGCATCAGACTGAAGGATGTCAAATGCAAAAGGGTACAGAAGGTCCCCAAAGAAATCTGTTGACTCTCTGGGGAGCTGAGTCGGCATGTTGTCTATGGAGCACACCAGTACACCAGGACCCTTGAAGCTGCAGCACAGGAAAACAATCCTTGTAAGAAATAAAATCTAAACCTCTACAGAAATAAAAGAATATTGGATGGGTCACAGTTGTTTTTAAAAAATTACATCATTAAGATAAGAAAGAATTATTACACCACAGCTTACATCAAGTCAGCCATCTCACTGTGTCTATGAATGAGGCTCATTATTAGCACACAATTACTTAGGCATCTAAAAAAAGAAGTGTACAATTTACCAGAGACATGACTACAGATTGAAGCATTATATAGCTATGAGAAAATATTGGAATTCCAAGTTTTCTCAGAAAATCATAACAGGACAAATGAAAACTGAAAGAGACTGTGCCTAAAGTTATAAGGAGACAATTACAAGGCAGTAGTTACTGGTGGTGTCACCTTTTCGTATCCTTGTTGCGATCTGCATCATATAGACAAAACGGTGTATCAATGGTCGTGCATTCATTCATAAACTCAACAGAACCTCCAGGGTCGGCTGATATGTCACAGATTGCCAACATTCTGTGAGGTAAAGCAGGAGAGCCAACTGATGATGGAAGCCATGGAGTGTTGGCAGGTCTCAGTAGAGTTTTGGCATCAGGAATAGTGAGAAGTTTGGGCGAGTCAATCGCCCAGTAGATGCCATTGATGACGACTGAAGCATATGGAGCTACCTACAATATAAAGATATAAAGATTTCATTCTGTGTTTTAACTTGAGAGTAACAGCATTGGGACTAGCATAAAGGAACTTCCTGCTTTCACTTGTATGTTTCAACTTTACATTCTAACTGCATTTATTTGAACTTATTACACTTTTTGGGCATTCATTAGTTGCTTTAGATATCTGTAAATTCCATCTTTAACCACACCAACATCCACATTGGAAGTTGTAATTTATCATTGAACAACAGTTTTAAATTTCATAATTACATAGTTCAACCTTTTTACTAAATGTTGAGATGTACTGGGATGGAAATCTTTCATACTCCTCAGGATCAAACCCTCCGCCTTCCTTTCGCTCCAAATGATGTCTTCTCCGCACCTCACATCCATAGATCTTGGTGTGAGCTGGCAACACAAGCAATATTAAATTAAAATGGATGCAAACTAGAATTCACTAATTAGTACAGAATTTCAAATTGATCTTTATGTTTCCATCCACCTAAATGTATCAAACATCCTTACCAGTCTTCTTGCCACAGAGAGCCACCACATTCATCATAAATGGTAGCCAAATGGAAAATACACATAACTAAAAATGTAATGTCTAAACTCCTGAGTCTAAAATAAAGTACAACCGACTTCTTAAAATAGACACCTTTCCTGCAAGGAAAAAAGTAAATAACCTTCATCTAATCTAAATATAAGGTAACATTTAAGCCCTACACATTCAGAACTCAAAATATCAATGGAAACAACTATTATTCTGACAAGCAAATGCTTCTATAACTGACTGGCATCATTACAAAATATTATGATTAGTTTGAAGAAGAGCACAGTGGATGAAAGTTGAAATTTAACACAACAAAATTATTCTGAAAGGAGAATGTCAATTTATGTTAAAGAAATTAATTTACTGTAATTTAAATAAATTATATATTATTTAAATTACAATTATAATGAAGAATTTGAGGTTCTCGTGGTGATGAGTACAAAGATGGGTGTCTTCTGGGTTGCAGCTCCATGTAGCCTCCATCATCAGGGCAATGAGTCCTCATTGCTCTGATGATGGAGGCAGCTAGGACCTCCAAAATGACAGTAAACCTTTACCGGACTAAATGTCACTACAACCAAGAAGACAGCCATCTTCATATATTTACAATATTTATCAATTTCATCATGCCATACACACAATAAAATAAGAATAAAATAGGAGAATCTTAAGATTCATGAGCAGGCAGAGTTGCTATTGTATGTTGTCTCTACAATTTTTTGTGGGACCCACTATTAAATGAATTTCTGAGCAAAACGTTAAAAATATTTCCTCTTTCCTATTTTAGCTTCGTCTTTAGCCAACCTTACCTATCAGTATTTTTATAGACAGGCACTACAACTGCTTGAGCAGGACCTCAAGGTCTTGGACATAGCAATTTAGTATACAAACCTATCCCTAACAAGTATCTGCTCTACAAATAAGAGGGACTAATTCAGCAATGAATAATTCAATTACATTTTGGGTTTCAGTACCAACATTACTTTCATAAGTTGAAAACATTTCCTCTCCTTGTCTTTTTTACACATTAGCAAGCAACTCACAACCATGCTCTGCCACCTTCCTTAGCATGTCTGGTGGGACGTACTCATGCGGCAACTCCTGAAACACTTCCTGTCCACCCTGAGATACATTCCCACTGCCTGTGAACACAAAAGTCAGAGGACCGATGGACTTCGGCATCATACCCAGAGCTATCTCGTACCCTGCATCTCTTATAGCCTGTCGAGCCATAGATGAATTTCTATAGTTGTGAGCTGGTCCTATATACTGCAACAATGCAATAATTTAACATTCAGCATATGATGGCAACCAACCACCTGAAAACACTAGTATCGCCAACCTCTAGTTTATACACAGGAAATCAGCCTTGTGTTCAAAGTTGGAAATATCTTTCAAAGCTCCATTATGTTACTTTATTTTAGCAATTTCAGCAATCTGTACAGTGTACAACAAACAAAAGAAACCTGATCATCCAGTCTGCAGTCAATCTATACAAAAAACTACTCCAGATTTTTTTTTAAAGAGTAGATTTCCAAATCAGTTCTTTTGTCTAAGATTATGGAAACCAATAGTTACTTAATTCATATACCTATTTTTACAATGTATTATATTGCAGTAACACTGAATGTAAAAGGAGTCTAGGTTACTATAATCCAGCACTAACCATGAAAGGTGTGTGATGACCCAGAGCTAAGAGACGTAATCCAAGACCATGCAGGATGTTGACCATGCCTGCCAAACCAGCATATTTTCCAAATGCAACCACACGCTGCCCATGTTCATCCATCAGCTTCTCATAGTCTATCAGGCGTATATTCTGATGAACAGAGCCAGTGATCATTATCAGTTGCACATTACAATATCATGATTCCAAAAACATGGCATGTGATATATAAGCAAAATGCAGACCACAGATTGGGAATAGCTTGGTCTACCAGATCCAGCAGAATAGGTGTCTGTCCCCTCTTTACCTAATGATAAAGAAAGATCCATCCTTCAAAACACAGTAATTCTTAAGGTTTAAATTTTTTTTATAAACACTAAATTTTAAGTTTTTTACTCATACCTTTTCTAGTATAGCATCCAGCAGAGGCATATTTGCTTCCTGTGCCTTGATTGTATGTGAGAAGAGACAATAAGTCTTATTAGGGATCAGAAGATCTACTGGAGCCTGCTTCACACCGAAAATCACAGATGCTTCAGAAATGTCCTCCTGGATCACCGCTCCAGCTGCAGCGTATGTCTGTAACATGTTGCTGTTCTACAGAATCAAACTACCCTAAGAAACATTTCAGTCAATGGACAGCAAGTACACCTTGTTGGGAATAAGCAGTTACTTGGGCCAGCTTCACACTGGAAATCAAAGATACTTTAATATGCAGTGCAGCTGCAAAATAGTCTCAGGCTAAGAAACATTTAAAGCTATGTTCAAGACACCAAACCCCTTCTTTACAATTCCCATTTTGTCTTCGGGACTAATACATTTGGAATACTGCACAAAGTAGCATATTATTAGGTTTATTTTACAAAGTAACCATAGATATATGTAGAAATTGTTAAAAAAAAAGCCAAAAAAGCAGGAGAGCCAACTGATGATGGAAGCCATGGAGTGTTGGCAGGTCTCAGTAGAGTTTTGGCATCAGGAATAGTGAGAAGTTTGGGCGAGTCAATCGCCCAGTAGATGCCATTGATGACGACTGAAGCATATGGAGCTACCTACAATATAAAGATATAAAGATTTCATTCTGTGTTTTAACTTGAGAGTAACAGCATTGGGACTAGCATAAAGGAACTTCCTGCTTTCACTTGTATGTTTCAACTTTACATTCTAACTGCATTTATTTGAACTTATTACACTTTTTGGGCATTCATTAGTTGCTTTAGATATCTGTAAATTCCATCTTTAACCACACCAACATCCACATTGGAAGTTGTAATTTATCATTGAACAACAGTTTTAAATTTCATAATTACATAGTTCAACCTTTTTACTAAATGTTGAGATGTACTGGGATGGAAATCTTTCATACTCCTCAGGATCAAACCCTCCGCCTTCCTTTCGCTCCAAATGATGTCTTCTCCGCACCTCACATCCATAGATCTTGGTGTGAGCTGGCAACACAAGCAATATTAAATTAAAATGGATGCAAACTAGAATTCACTAATTAGTACAGAATTTCAAATTGATCTTTATGTTTCCATCCACCTAAATGTATCAAACATCCTTACCAGTCTTCTTGCCACAGAGAGCCACCACATTCATCATAAATGGTAGCCAAATGGAAAATACACATAACTAAAAATGTAATGTCTAAACTCCTGAGTCTAAAATAAAGTACAACCGACTTCTTAAAATAGACACCTTTCCTGCAAGGAAAAAAGTAAATAACCTTCATCTAATCTAAATATAAGGTAACATTTAAGCCCTACACATTCAGAACTCAAAATATCAATGGAAACAACTATTATTCTGACAAGCAAATGCTTCTATAACTGACTGGCATCATTACAAAATATTATGATTAGTTTGAAGAAGAGCACAGTGGATGAAAGTTGAAATTTAACACAACAAAATTATTCTGAAAGGAGAATGTCAATTTATGTTAAAGAAATTAATTTACTGTAATTTAAATAAATTATATATTATTTAAATTACAATTATAATGAAGAATTTGAGGTTCTCGTGGTGATGAGTACAAAGATGGGTGTCTTCTGGGTTGCAGCTCCATGTAGCCTCCATCATCAGGGCAATGAGTCCTCATTGCTCTGATGATGGAGGCAGCTAGGACCTCCAAAATGACAGTAAACCTTTACCGGACTAAATGTCACTACAACCAAGAAGACAGCCATCTTCATATATTTACAATATTTATCAATTTCATCATGCCATACACACAATAAAATAAGAATAAAATAGGAGAATCTTAAGATTCATGAGCAGGCAGAGTTGCTATTGTATGTTGTCTCTACAATTTTTTGTGGGACCCACTATTAAATGAATTTCTGAGCAAAACGTTAAAAATATTTCCTCTTTCCTATTTTAGCTTCGTCTTTAGCCAACCTTACCTATCAGTATTTTTATAGACAGGCACTACAACTGCTTGAGCAGGACCTCAAGGTCTTGGACATAGCAATTTAGTATACAAACCTATCCCTAACAAGTATCTGCTCTACAAATAAGAGGGACTAATTCAGCAATGAATAATTCAATTACATTTTGGGTTTCAGTACCAACATTACTTTCATAAGTTGAAAACATTTCCTCTCCTTGTCTTTTTTACACATTAGCAAGCAACTCACAACCATGCTCTGCCACCTTCCTTAGCATGTCTGGTGGGACGTACTCATGCGGCAACTCCTGAAACACTTCCTGTCCACCCTGAGATACATTCCCACTGCCTGTGAACACAAAAGTCAGAGGACCGATGGACTTCGGCATCATACCCAGAGCTATCTCGTACCCTGCATCTCTTATAGCCTGTCGAGCCATAGATGAATTTCTATAGTTGTGAGCTGGTCCTATATACTGCAACAATGCAATAATTTAACATTCAGCATATGATGGCAACCAACCACCTGAAAACACTAGTATCGCCAACCTCTAGTTTATACACAGGAAATCAGCCTTGTGTTCAAAGTTGGAAATATCTTTCAAAGCTCCATTATGTTACTTTATTTTAGCAATTTCAGCAATCTGTACAGTGTACAACAAACAAAAGAAACCTGATCATCCAGTCTGCAGTCAATCTATACAAAAAACTACTCCAGATTTTTTTTTAAAGAGTAGATTTCCAAATCAGTTCTTTTGTCTAAGATTATGGAAACCAATAGTTACTTAATTCATATACCTATTTTTACAATGTATTATATTGCAGTAACACTGAATGTAAAAGGAGTCTAGGTTACTATAATCCAGCACTAACCATGAAAGGTGTGTGATGACCCAGAGCTAAGAGACGTAATCCAAGACCATGCAGGATGTTGACCATGCCTGCCAAACCAGCATATTTTCCAAATGCAACCACACGCTGCCCATGTTCATCCATCAGCTTCTCATAGTCTATCAGGCGTATATTCTGATGAACAGAGCCAGTGATCATTATCAGTTGCACATTACAATATCATGATTCCAAAAACATGGCATGTGATATATAAGCAAAATGCAGACCACAGATTGGGAATAGCTTGGTCTACCAGATCCAGCAGAATAGGTGTCTGTCCCCTCTTTACCTAATGATAAAGAAAGATCCATCCTTCAAAACACAGTAATTCTTAAGGTTTAAATTTTTTTTATAAACACTAAATTTTAAGTTTTTTACTCATACCTTTTCTAGTATAGCATCCAGCAGAGGCATATTTGCTTCCTGTGCCTTGATTGTATGTGAGAAGAGACAATAAGTCTTATTAGGGATCAGAAGATCTACTGGAGCCTGCTTCACACCGAAAATCACAGATGCTTCAGAAATGTCCTCCTGGATCACCGCTCCAGCTGCAGCGTATGTCTGTAACATGTTGCTGTTCTACAGAATCAAACTACCCTAAGAAACATTTCAGTCAATGGACAGCAAGTACACCTTGTTGGGAATAAGCAGTTACTTGGGCCAGCTTCACACTGGAAATCAAAGATACTTTAATATGCAGTGCAGCTGCAAAATAGTCTCAGGCTAAGAAACATTTAAAGCTATGTTCAAGACACCAAACCCCTTCTTTACAATTCCCATTTTGTCTTCGGGACTAATACATTTGGAATACTGCACAAAGTAGCATATTATTAGGTTTATTTTACAAAGTAACCATAGATATATGTAGAAATTGTTAAAAAAAAAGCCAAACGTGTTCACAAAAGCCTGCCACTGGACTCTATCCTCAGCTAGCTGCATCCAGTTCACTCAATCGATTCCTATCTCCATAACATCCATCTTAATGTTATCCCCCATCTATGCCTAGGTCTTCCCAGCAGTCTCCTCACTTCAGGCCTCTCCCTCACATGTCCCACCCACCTCATCCTCCTCGGTTTGATCATCCAAACAATATCAGTTGAGGAGTACAGGCAGTGAAGATCCCAAATTACTACCCGCCTTTAAAAAATTAGAAATAACTGAGACACTGTCAGCTATAAATATCCTAATTTTCACCTACCTGCATTGGATAGGCTCTTCTGTTTGATGGTTGTACAATGACCTTGACTCCAGCACGAGTAAGGTGACGGACATTAGATGGTGCAAGTGGTGCTCTCCTCTCCCATACAGACTGATCCTCCCGCCGAATTGCTATCACCTTTCCTTCTACAGAGGTCTTGAAAAATAATAGTACAATGTTGTGAAACTAAGCATATCTCATGTTTCGTCCAACACATTCTCTCATCTATATAGACATATTTCAATAATAGGTTAAGCTACAATCAGCATTTTTTTACAAGTAGAATTTAAGGTTCTTGTGGTGGCAAGGATGAAGATGGCTGTCTTCTGAGTTGTAGTGCCATATAATCTGGTAGATATTTACCAACATTTCAGAGATCCTTTTTGCCTCCATCATCAGGGAGGCTTTCACAAATGATAAATCTTCCAGTTCCTATCATACTATTTAAAAAGATGAATGTCTATATTCATCAGATGCTGTATCAGGAAGTAAGGTACTAAAGACAGCTATTCACTAAGTGAAAATCAGCTAATGCACCTACTGTATATTACTCACATTGGTTGGTTTGGTAGTTCTCGTTCGTTGGTGATTGGTTCTTGTGCTGAATATGAAGCCACACCTTTTACATGCTTTCATGGTAGCCATCACAAATTGCTGCATCTTGATACTTACTAAAACAAAAGAAAAGAGATCAGTGTGGGTAAATGACTGTCTTATTATTAACTTTAGGAATGGACAAAATACAGCCCACTGGAGTAGCTCTTCGGCCTTTTACTGGACCCACAAATCAGATTCAGTATAAGGACACAAGAGCTTCAGTAAGAGATTCAAATATGTTTCCAAAGGTTGTTTCAAACTCACCTTAATTTTCAGAATGAACTTTAACTTGAAACAAATACTGAGCTTATTAACAGTACATGTCATTACAAAATATGTTACTGTGTAGATGGAAGCTCAGATGGATTCTAGTTGCATATAAAGTGACTAATAGTTTCACATATAAGAAATACTGTGATAGCATTTGATCTGTGGGTTAGAAGGTCATAGGAATACTGATTTTTCTACCCTTTTTCTATATATATAATGAAACAGATAAGCATGTTATCATGTGAAACATGTAACAAGTTGGTAGCTGCCACAGGAAAATATTAATTCCAACCAAAGCTCCAATTATATTCAAGTCCATCATTATTACTATCACAATAAACATCTAGAAAAACACAAGTTTGCTTTTTCTCTTGACTGCAGTTACACAACATGGAAATTCACACTCAATTTCAACATCTAATGATGTCAAATGCTGACTTTTTATCTCACAAGAATATCCAAACAACTGATCAATGATGAAATGAGAAACTGATAATGGCAACTGAAAATTAATACAAACATATTACAACCCAAAGAAACAATGAGCATCCAGACTGACTAAAGGAACTTAGTATAGCTAGAAGTTTCCATTAGCATCACTTTTCACATATCTGCTGTGATACAATGGTTATGAATTATGGAATAAAACAGACTGGCTATAAAATATTAATGGTTCACTTAACCCTTTAAAGCCCAATGATAACTGTATGTTCCACTTGCTTCAATAATTAATAACACTTCATTTTGTATTTATGGGTTTCATATGATTCTAACTATAAACAGGGATTATTTCCTTGGACAACATTAACAAACTAATATTTGTAATAAAATGTACATAATATTCAGATGAGCTTCAGATTCAAAGGAATTAAGAAATTCTAGAGGAAGATAAGGAAATAACTTCAAAGCTCTGTTCATCCAGCCCTGATTGTAACTTGCCCAAGATGTGAAGATCGTAACTTTTTTGTGAACCAATAGGACTGTACAACATAAAAATGTGAAATATGTGATCCACTAGTGCATATTTTATCAGGCATGCCAGCCATTCCATCATCCCTTCACAAAGTTTAGCTGTATATTGTAATATTTATTTTTAATTCTATTATCCATATCTACATATAAGAGTGTACTAGCTTTCATAATAAAATTAGCTTTAAAAGTATCGAATTCACACATTTTCACCGTGTCATCTAAATAAACACCATAAAGATCATAACCTTGTCAAACTCCTTGCATAGTTAAATGAATTCTGCTTCCTAAGGAACATGGAATATAAAGCATACTTTTTTAAAAAAATTGAAAACTTGTTAATAAGGTAACAGCAAAGTTGTCCCTGGTATTCAATTAAGCAAGCCATATAGACATATGAAACATGGAGGTATAGCTCCACACATTCTTAACCTCAACATAAGACAAAGATAAGAGGGTAGCTTCACACACAGGCCAATTTAACCCTGGTACCCAGCTGGAAGGAGGCTGGGTGTGGGTAGCAGAGCTGTTGAGGATTTTATGGCAAAAAGAAAAATTCTGCCCTGTTGGGAACAAAACCCCAGTCATCCAATAACCTAATCACTATACTCATTTAATTATTAACAGCTAATAAATATAATCCACAATGTTTCTCAACCAACACCTATTATTATTGGGCATGAACACATGCCACTTAAGTCATGTTGTATATATCTTAAACAGAAATTAGTCATGTATTAATAGTTAGTAGCGCCTTATTATGTAACTTCCTCCAGCACTGCAGTCACATACATTTATTAAAATCAACCATTACTACTTACAGCACTGGATCTGCATTTGGCCCGTGTCCATTCATTCCAATTCACTGATCATGACAATCTGGTGAACAGAGACAACTGAAACAGACCTCCATTACAGTAACCAATAAAGTGCAGAAGTAAATAAATCACAGTACCAAGGGAATGAGGAATATGACTGTTTCCTGTTAGATAAATTTTCTATACAGACACAATATCAAAGTCTGACCCTAGATTAAATCAGTTGGCAGGAGGCCAAAATGTTCAACCTTAACAAATAAACCATATTTCAAAGTTCATATAACACTACATTCAGAATGCTTATCATGTCTCTACAAGCCTCAAAATAAAATGGAGTGGCTGTACAATTATAAAGGAAGCACTTAAATAGTTACATTAACAATACATTTTTCTGATTTGTTGAAACAGTAAGTATCCAGTAGTTGCATCTTGTAGAAGTCATTTGTCTAATGGTCAAAAAGCCTGATCCAAACACACTATTTCACACATTAAATACATTTATAGAGTATGCAGATAACATTCATTTCAGGCACATGTGGTTTATACACTGTGTGGAGTTCCCCATCTCTCCAGTTTTGAGCTGCAGCCCCCAGAAACTACGATTTATCTGTGGTCACAACTGGACACACCTCTTATGTTTCACTTTCTGTTAATGTAAAATATTTTAAATGTATACATAGCATGTAAGACTTGAGGTTCTCACAGCGGTGAGTATGAAGATTTCCGTCTTCTGGGTTGTTGCGCTGTGTAGTCTGGTTGATGTTAACCAACGTTTCAGAGGTCATACTGCCTCCATAATCAGGGTGATGAAGCATATCTGTACTGCAGCAGAAGTTTTATATTAATTGTAAGCACAATTGAAAATAATTTATCTTTATTATGTACTAATGGATATTCATGCCATTTATGAGTCATTTTGTTTGAAGGTGATCCAAGGTATCATTTCTTTGGTATTAGGATCACAGTATAATATTGATTATACAGCACATCAGAAAAGGGCAGTTTTATTAAACAATGTGTCACTTTCTCTTGGAGTCACCTCTACCGTCATCAACATCATCATAGGCATCTTTGACATACATGATTCAAACACTAGATGAAGCCAATATGCAAAAACTGTTCCAAGGAACACGGGTACTGGAGACATAATTACTTAGATCACCAACTGACATTACACTTTTTTTTTTGTAGTTTAGATGCGTCATGTTTGTGATAAAATTCAGTATATATTTATTTATTATTTCCGTCTATACACAAACTTAATTTTTATAATGTTGTTGTTAAAATTAACATTAAAATTTATTTTATGTTAAACTCAGCCAAATTTTACCACAGTGAAATATAAAACAGCATATTAAGTCAATGGCTGTACTTTTTCCTTCTTTGGAATTCTGATTGTTTGGAAGCAAAACAAAGCAATACCCGTGCTTTATTCTTTTCTTCTTAACAATCACAATAGCTACAGTTCGTTTATATCTAGTATTATTTATTACTGATCACATTTTCGTAGTCTGTGTGAAGAGCCTTAAATTAGGTCAGTGCATACTAGTGCAACCAACAGTCAGGAACAGCCAGCTGGATGGCATGTAAAGTCATGCACAGACTTCTCATATATCATAATATCTAAATTGATTTCCTACACTAAGAAATACAAAAATAAATTCCTTCCACTACAGTGGCAATCCTTTATTATACACAGCATGTATGTATTTATTGATCTCAGAATGTAATAGCTTTTCTTGAGCATGGATACATTTTAACAAATATATCAACTATCTGATACTAAACACTTTCTCAATTTTCAACAGCAAAGTAACTTCATTTATGATCACACACAAATGGCCAAAACAGTAATTATTTCAGTCTTTAGTTGTGAAATAGAGGTCAAATGGGATTTTGTCGGCATTTCTGCCTTTGTTCACCTATACAGTGCATACACAAAAGAATGGTGCAACTGTGACTGGCGACTCATTTTTGGACATGTTGGAAAGCTGGTTGTTACCCCAACTGAATACCAATTATGACGATTACATGTTTTAATATTTTTATCTAACTCATATAATGCATGCAGATTACAAAAACAGGTATGTATGTTATTTTAACTGATAATACCAAAAGTATCATCAAAAGTCTGTACCCATTACTTAACACAAAAATATACAACACTAATTATGTTGCACACTTGTATTATTGGGTCCACGAACAATATTTTCTATAATGCTCGACATATCCATTATCTCGTCATCGAGATCCAAACAGTCATACTCCTCTAAAATTCCTTTCCTTTCCGGTTCCCCAAATGGCAGTTTCTCGTTCACAAGTTCAACAGCTTTCACTGATGAAATCTGGGCACAAACTTCAGAATTCAGAAATGTGTTGCATGGATATGCACCTATGCCTTTGTCTCCATTTAATGCATGTGCAGAATGTGTCTCTCTTTCCAGTTTTATACCACTTTCCAAGTTTGTCTCCATAACTCTTTTTTGGTTCATCTGTTGAACATTATTTTCAGTACCTTGTGCCACTGTATCGCATAGATAATTAAATGTTAACTTTGATTGTTTCTTTTCAATTTTCAGACATGACTGCATATGTATTGCATCCTTATGAGATAAATTCTCCAGGTTTCCTTTTCCATCTTCAGAACTGATATCCAAATTTCCCAAAAAGCTCTGAATTTCGGAGACATCAGATTTACTTGAAGACTTCATACATGTGCACATATGGCTCTGCTGGGTATACTTATTGTGTTCTTCATTCTCCTTGCACTGGCAATTATAAGTTTTCACTGATGCTGTTTTTCTTTTCAGTTTTCTGCCTGTTGTTTTCCCTTAAATGAACATAACATGGAAATCAGTTGATGTTTTAAAGTATTTAGCTAATTTAACTGTACTCTGTCAACAACGAGAAAATTTTTGCTTAAAAACATGCAGTATTCTAGCACCTAATAGCAGATATGTAAATTTTTAAGAAGCTAAGTATAAATAAATCAGCATCTTAATAAAACACCAATATCTTTAATCCTATCCCACCTAAGATAAAAAAGCAGTCATCCACACCACAATGCTAGGTTATTTTATACTGTATTTTCATACTGTAGCATAACTGGCTGGGACATATTATGAGAAGGAATGGATTACTGAGTGATATCACCGAAGGCCAGGTTGAAGGAAAGAGAGGACTAGGAAGAAGATTGATACAGCTAACCGACGACCTTAAACAAGGAAAGAAGATGACGTTCCAGGAATTAAAGCGAGAAGCCGAGAATAGGGACAACTGGAGAGCTCTGTTTGAGCAGAGCAATGGACCTGTCATAAGACAGAACACTTAATAATAATAATAATAGCATGTATCTATTCAATGATCAGATGAGGTAACAGTAAGATAACTGTTGCAAATCTGAAAATCAGCAGCCAAATAAATTTAATCCATTATTTTAACTGTATGCACCTGTGAGCATTTGCCCCAAATGCCTATTTGTAGAAAAATTACGTATAAACACAAGATTTGTTGCTACACTACTCCTTATGAAGAATTTTTTAGCCCTTAACACTGCTTATGCAATTTATGCGTAACTCTATAACCCCTTGCTGGAATTCTGAACTGTCAGGTTTTAACAAGTGTATGTAATATTTTACTACCACACCTCTAAAAATATTGGTACCTGTGTGTAAACCCATTTCATTTCTATTTTCACCTGGATTCTGAACTATTTTATTCATTTACTTATTTATTGTGTATTGAACTGAAAAAATTGGTTCTCGTGTGTCTAGTATATATGAAATAAGAATAGGAAGAAACTGGGGTATCAATCTAGGGTACATATGTAAGGGAGTTCAAAATTTAATTAAATTAATGCAATATATGTATTCATACTTAATACTATTCCTTTCTTAGTGTTAAAGAATTTCCAGTAGATGCAAAAAGAATTAGTCTTTACTGTGATACCAATACATTTTTATATCCAAACGAACATAGCTATCAGATAAATGCATGCAGATAAACATACAGTATGCAAACATGAAGGTTGTACATGCTTGAAAACATCCATGAAATCCCTGTGTGATTTACATCTGTTTCACTTTAAATTTCAAGTTCAGCATCTTACAGTAATCTAAACTATATCTCAGCATCAAAGGATGTAACAGTTTAAATCAAACCCGATCCTAAATACTTGGACTGGATGTTCAAGGTAATAAAATGTAAGGATGCACAAATGTAGAAGAACCATAATTTCCATAAATCTCCATTTATGGACAACTTAATTAAAAACTATGTTACAACTATTTTCATACTGCAATAGCACTAGAATATTAAATTACTATTGTGTATGCATATAATTTTAACCATAAAGAAAATCCACATCTTATGTCTTAACTATTAAAAAATTATTGCTTATTTTGTGGTTTTACCTGAATGATAAAGGTTATGCTGCAAAGAATATGCAATTACTACAGCAGAAATGTAACACTACTCACCCTTTCTTGACTTTGCTTCCTCCTCCATATATTTCTCCACCAAGTCTGGGTATGCAGTTCTAAACATTTCTTGGGGCTCAGTGGTAATTCCATGTTGCACCTCGATGTTGCACAAAAGGCCATGATGGTCTTTCCATTCAACTTCGAAACTATGAACACTTTTCAGTACTCGTTTCTTAATAATTTTACATGGCATGAATGGTAATGCAGCTTGGTCTGAGTTCCTGCCGTCATTTCGCAGATTATGTAACTGCCATCTTGTCACCAGTGGAATAAATTTCTCCACGGCATATAACTCTGTCCAGTTAAGAAGCTTAACAGCATAGTTCTGTAAGACCAACTTTAGCAATTATTGAAATAAACTTCAAAAATCCTAAAACAATGAATTTTACTATATTAACATCACTGCATGAATTTTCCTTAGCACCTGAACAGAAACAGTCCTATGAGCCTTAAACAACCTAAAATAAAAACTGTTAAATTTTGTACTGAACATTATATAATGTTCAGTACAAAATTTAATATGATAAAATATTCAGTTTATTATTTCCTCCATGATCCTTGTACACACATGTAATAACATATTCCATATACACAAAATTCAGTATTACAAAAATTTTGACACAATGATGCAGGCATGTCTATTTTAAATTTAATGGTATTAAAATTTTCAATAAGACTACAAAAATGAAATTTGTGAGACACAGAATTCAAATTAATTTTGGATACTAAATTTCTATATTATGTAACATACTTTGTTATAGTATATCACACTACTCTATGCCTGTTCAACAATTTGAGATATTCAGTTTTATTCAACATTGCACAAAAACATGAAAATCTTATTGTACACGAAATAAATTCACCCTGGATATGGAGGCAATAAGTCCCTCTGAAATGTTGACAACCATCTACGAGACTATATGGCGTCATAAGCTAGATGGCCATAATCAATCTTCACAGCTGAAAGAAACTTCATATCTCAAAATGTATTAACAATTTTCACTCACAATGAAGCTGACAATGTCTGGTTGCTTCCATCGTACGTCAAATTTGGGGAGTGGCTGTCTATACAAGAACTCATCTATTATGGCCTGGGATGGGAAGTTCTCATCTTGTAATGCCTTCCTCCTCATTATGAGTTCTGCTATGATACATTTTCTTTCTCCCCTGAAATATATGTAACAAAATCACCTTTTAAGGATTATTTATTTAACCTACATAACAATATTTGTACACACACACACACAGACTAATTTTGCACAGGGTGTATGTGGGTGCCACAAAAATGGTGCTAAGTGTATATAATTTGACATCACTCAAGAGGAAAAATTTACTTGCAATACAGATCTAAAGAAATTAAATGCAATACAAGCAAAGAAATTCCTGTTTGTCCTATCCTCTGTAAGAAGACAATACTTCACTCACGGATCTTTCTGACTAAGATGATGCATGTCAGTAGTTTTAATACAATCAAATTTTGTGGCACAATCTTTACAGCCTGACTTGGCATGCTTCTGTAGCTTCCCTGTGTGGTTGCACTTGCTGCATGTATTACCCAGAGCTGCATATTCAGTTTCCAAACATTCATAGCGAGGGTCTGTTCGCCACTGCTTCAGTCTGTAAGGAAACATTAAGAAAAACAGGTTAACATATTCACATTTAAAGTGGCACTATTTTGGCCAGAAAATATAACCTCTGTAACAATAAATATAAAAACATTAACTTTCCTCATGCTTTTATCATTTACTCAGATTATACATAATTCAGTTTACTTTAATAAACCTTCACTACCCACCTGTTTAGTATGCATTAAACTCATGTAAATAAACATCTGGTATACCATGTGTATGCTAGTATGTTGTTTCAGAAAGATGTGGAATGATATAATACAAAAAGAATCTAGAACTTTCCAACATTTTAATTTCTTGGTTGGTCCCCAACAAAAAGATGAAATTCACCTGTATGACACTCCTTATGTAGTAAAAAGGTTTTTAACAATCGACTTCAGTCCACATAAAACATTCTGTATTCTTAAGAGATCAACCCTTGTGTAAAAACCTGATACACAAACTGGGAATTTGAACTTCCTCAAAATCAAAATGAAGAAACTGACAAACAATGGAAATAAGATCTGCCACATATAATACGAGGCACGTCCCAAAAGTAAGTTTCCCACTCGTCCCACAGCTAGCAAACCTTATATTGAGCGAAGCGACTGTGCGTACGTGATAGAGCAATGACGTAGCATGGCGCATGCACTAACGGTACTTCCCGCGTTCTCACAGTAGCATCGTTGCAGCTGTTGAAGATGGAGGTTCTTATTCCAGCTCCCGCCGACTGTGAAGTGCGGTCAGTGATAAAGTTTTTGAATGCACAGAGCATAGCGCCGATCGAAATTCATCGTCAGCTGTGCCGGGTCTATGGGCCTAACGTCATGAGCAAGCA